GACTGGCCTGGGTGGGCCGGGCGCGGTGGCTCACACAGCACTTTGGGAGGCCGAGGCGGGCAGATCATGAGGTCAGGAGATAGAGACCATCCTGGCTAACACAGTGAAACCCCGTTTCTACTAAAAACACAAAAAAATTAGCTGGGCGAGGTGGTGGGCGCCTGTAGTCCCAGCTACTCGGGAGGCTGAGGCAGGAGAATGGTGTGAACCTGGGAGACGGAGGTTGCAGTGAGCCGAGATTGCGCCACTGCACTCCAGCCTGGGTGACAGTGACAGACTCCGTCTCAAAAAAAAAAAAAAAAAAAAGAAAAAGACTAGACTAGGTGAGTTCTCCAGGACTGATGTCCAGAGATGAGTTTTCAGAAACCAAGGCCACCTTATAGATCTCTGATTCCATTTCCCTTTCTGAGTCCTTTACCTTCCTATGCACTAGCAGATTCGTTTTCGCAGTCTCCTGCCATTTAAAGCCTTTGACTTCTCCTGCCTGACACTTTTCCAAGTACTCTATTGTTGAAAGTTAACATCCTTCACTTGGCTCTTCTCCTTCTGCTCTTCCTAACTTCACATTTACTGAGATGGATCTTCACTCCTGTCAAATAAATTGATACCTCAATGTGTAAAACTCAAAGATTCCCAGGGGATCGGCGAGAAGAGCACAGAATTTACATATCCGGAGGAGTTAGATTCATCTCCCATTGGTGCTCTGCTGGGCCCAGTGGGGAAGTCATTCTGAGCTGGAATTCTGGTGCTTTTGCCTTCACGGGGTCCCTGTTTTTTCCTTTTAAGCTTTTATTTTAAGTTCAGGGGTACATGTGCAGGTTTGTTAGATAAGTAAACTCATGTCAAAGGGATTCGTTGTACAGATTATTCTATCACCCAAGTACTAAGCCTAGTACCCACTAGTTGTTTTTCCTGATCCTCTCTTTCCTTCCATTCTCCACCCTTTGTTAGGCCCCATTGTCTGTTGCTCCCCTCTATGAGGCCGTGAGTTCTCATCATTTAGGTCCTGCTTATAAGTAAGAACAGGCAATATTTGATTTTCTGTTCCTGCATTAGTTTGCTGTGGATAATGGCCTGTAGCTCCATCCATGTTCCTGCAAAGGATATGATCTTGTTCTTTTCTGTGGCTGCATAGTATTCCATGGTGTACAGGTACTATGTTTTCTTTATCCAGTCTACTGTTTATGGGCATTTAGGTTGACTCCATGTGTAGCTATTGTGAATACTGCTCCAATGAACACATGTGTGCATGTGTCTTTATAATAGAATAATTGATATTCCTTTGAGTATATACCCAGTAATGGGATTGCTGGGTGAATGGCAATTCTGTTTTTAGGTCTTTGAGGAATCGCCACATTGCTTTCCTGTTGAGCTAGTTTGCACTTACACCAACAGCATATAAGCATTCTTTTTTCTCTGAAATCTCACCAGCATCTGTTATTTTTTGGCTTTTTAATAATTGGCTTCACCAAGTCTTAAGTTCCTCTTGGTATCCAACTTAGCTCAAGTCCGGGAAGCCCATTAAAGTGCTAAATATACCAAATCAAAATCAACAAAGAGCAGAGAATGTCTCTTACTTTCCCATCTTCTATGGTCTGAATGTTGGTTTATCTTCCCTCACCTCCCCAGTTTATGTGTTGAAATCTAATACCCAATGTGATAGTATTAAGTGGTGGGGACTTCGGGAAATGATCAATGCAAGAGGCTTCTACCCTCATGAATGTGATTACTGCTCCTATAAAAGAGGTTCCAGTGAGCTCCCTTGCCCCACTTTTACCATGGAGGGCACAGCCACAAGGTACACTCTATAAAGCAGGGAGCCTTCGCTAGACACTGAATCTGCTGGTGCCTTGATTTTGAAATTCCCAGCATCCGGAGCAGCAAGAAATACATTTCTGTTGTTTATAAATTACCCAGCTTAAAGTGTTTTGTTATAGCAGCCCGGATGGACTAAGATGCCACCTCTACTGCAGTTTTGCAAATGGGCCAGTAAAAATAGTGTCCTTGTTGTGGGCAAGGGTGTAAATTAGTACAGTGAAGACTCAGACGGAAAACAAATCCTCGAAACAGAGGCAATTTATTTTCAAATCTTTGGATTATAGTAAGCAGTTAGAAGAAATCTTAAATGTCAACTAATTAAACTCACTTATTTTGCAGATTAGGAAACAGGGTGCTCTGAGTAAGACATCTCCTGACTTGCAGACCCTATACTTTTCATGTAGTTCTGTGTTTATGTCTTTAGGATTTTAAAAGGGTTATTCTTCTTTGCATTATCTCTGCCCAAACCAGGGCAAAAAAGTTTATAAAGTAAGTGGATGGGTGAATAAACCAAGACTATAAAGTTAGCAAAGGAAAAGAACTCAGACAGGAGACCAAGAGACCATGTCCCCGGGTTCCTAATTCAGTGCTCTGTGATTCAGTTGAGCATTAAAGCAAACTAAGGCTGCATGAGAATTAAAATTTATGGTCCCTAGACTCTTACGTAAAATAGGCTGCTGTCTTATTCTCTGTAGTCCAATGGTATCAGTCTCTACAGTAATGATTCTAATTTCCTTTAGACAGTGGAGTAATTGTCCCCACTTGAGAGTCTGAAAACTTTAGGGGATCTTCTTCTCAAAAAATTGTGTACACACACAATTTACAAGTCCAGGTGAATCACATAACACCTCAATATGAGGGCAAGACCCTAGGCTATGAATGAATGTTCTAAATACTAATGCCAGCTATGTTTGTTTATTGAGTGTTTGCTATGTTCCAGGCATTATTCTGAAGACTTTACATGTGCTACATCATTTAATTTCTACAATGTCACTTAAAGTAGGTACTATTATCGTTTCTATTTATTACTATTATTATTTTTTGAGACAGAATTTTGCTCCTGTTGCCCAGGCTGGAGTGCAATGGTGCGATCTCGGTTCAGCACAACCTCGGCCTCCCAGACTCAAGCGATTCTCCTGCCTCAGCCTCCCTAGTAGCTGGGATTACAGGCATGCGCCACCATGCCCGGCTAATTTTTGTATTTTTAGTATAGACAGGGTTTCTTCATGTTGGTCAGACTGGTCTCGAACTCCCTACCTCAGGTGATCCACCTGCCTCGGCCTCCCAAAGTGTTGGAATTACAGGCATGAGCCACCGCTTCTGGCCTATTATCTCTATTTTACTGAGAAAACAGATTTAGAGTGCATCTCTTTATTTAACACTATTTCTTAAATACTGACTGACGTCAGGCAAGATGCTAGGTGCTGAGTATACAGTGGTGCACAAAAATGGACACATTTTCTTTCTTCAAGCTTGGAATCCAGTGATTGCCTGTATACACAGAAACATGCCATGAAGGAAACGAACATGGGTTGGGGGAGTGTGTCAGGCAGTGATAATAATGTGGACCCATGGAGTTTTGGAAAGATCTGAAGAAGGAAGTTGTGCCTGGACCACTGTGCAAAATGGGTGCAAGAGCTATATATGAGGTGAGAGGTGAGAGGTGAGAGGTGTCTGACTGTGTGTGGGAGTTAAATCATGTGCTAGAGGTTAATTTCAAAGGACAGAGACTGAGCTCAAACCAAGTTCATCTGCCCCCAAGGTCAGACCCTGCCCAATTGTCACCACAGTTCAGTTCCTCTGACTATAATGACTCCTAGTGACATATAATATATAATATCTCATGCTGGTGTCCTTCATGCCCTTGGGAAATACACCTCCCTAAAGTGCCCAATTTGTGGTGAAGGACAAAGTTTTAGACTTTTCAATCTGTCGTGCTGTGTTTCTATACTTCAACCTGTCACCCTCTCCCCGAATCCTTGTTGCCAAGCCTGCTCCCTAAGCCTGGGAGTGTTCTTGGTGGAAGCACAGAGCATTCTGTGTAACCACCGATTCATACCGGTTCACTATAGAGGAATTATGCATCTGTACTGACGGCTTTGGTGAAAAATAATGTCTCTGATCTCTATGTCTAAAAACTTACCTGCAAGCTTTTACTATTACCCTCCCTCACATTTGCAGAGCTCTGTCCCAAACAATTGAGCCTGTATTTCTTCTTTCTAGAGCAGCAGCTTGCTGATGCATGTGATTGCCACGTCTGGGGCTGGACCCCTGCCCAGGAGTGGCAAGGATAGGTACCCAGGCCACATATGACTGTCGTGCAGCTGATGTACTTGGCTTGCTACCACTGGTGAGTGTGCTGCACACCACAAACAGAAACACAGTGCTAATTTCAAGGTCTATTAGAATCACAAGGCAGTAGAAATAATGGTTGAGAGACAGAAAGGGTCACAATTGTCAGATTAAGAAGTCCTATTCCAAAAGTTTCTGGGAGATGTCGACAAACAATGGGAAATAAATAGATACACTTTCCGATAATAAAAATGTACTCGACAGTGTGCTTTTGAAAGAGCACAGTGAGGGACTGAAGTGGACAATATGTGACCGTGGTTTTTACCCTACACCATGCAGAACTGCTGATGGGGTCAGGCGGAGAACAAGCATCTGTGCGTTCATGTAAAAGCTATCGGAATGCAGTGTTCCCAACAAATACATTAATAACTTTCAACAACCTTCACTTCTGGACATGATGTAATTAATTTTTGAATCAGGGAAGCAAATGGTCTGTGGTCTGATATTTTCATTTGAAAGCAAGTGGGAAGACAAAAGCAAACAGACTTTTTGGCTATGAGAAAATGAGTGACCTTCCAAGTAAGGAATTCAAACTGGAGCTTTCAACTTCGGAGAGGAATGAGGCTGGAGAACCTTTTTGTAGCAGAAATGGAAGGTGGAGAAATGGTTGGGGGTTACAGTGCCCTCCACTGCCCTCTGAGTAGCCACGCCTTTCCCCACTTCGCGGGGCTCCGATGTCCCTGAACTACTATTTAACAGGAAAACATTATTGCTAACAGGTTTTATATTTTTTTAAACAGAGGGCTGGCATGCCAGCACATGCTTGAATGCTCTCACAGTTACATATAAACTTTAAAAAGAGGCCCCCTTTTCCCCGAGCCTGACTCATACTCCATGCATCATATAACCAGGCTTTGGAAAAGCTCTGAAAAATGCACATGGCAATTGGATCTATTTTGCCCGATCGTGGGAGTGATAAAAACAGGTGATGTAGTAGGTCATGGGAATGTAAAGCTGGGGGTACAGGGTGGGGAAGGGAAGGGTCATGAGGGGTAATAGGAAAGTTGTTCATACTTTTTAATGGTCTTTATGATATTTAGGACAACAGAATCATTGCATTTTAAAGACAGAAGAGGCCCTGGAAGCCTGCAATGACAATTTAGAGCTACTAAGCCAGTGCAAAATCACACAGCCAACCTCTGAACAACCCAGGCTGTATTTTGGACCCCCAAACCCACCAGAGAATCCAATAAGGGCTACAGACCATTTGTCTTGAAAAACAAAACTGTATTTAATATTTTCTATAGAGTTTCAAAGGATTTATCTACTCCTTAAGTTAGTCCTTGAAACTGAGCGTCTGATGAATTTTCTGTTATACTAGTAGTATAGGATCTTGATTGAGCATGTAAATAATGTTCAGACAAAGGTTTAAATTCCTCCTCCTTGTCACCTACTTGCTGTTTGAGCCCAAGTAAGCATGTAATGTTTTTAAGCCTCTGATATATGAAATAGATATAATAATAGCACCGACTCATAGGTTATCATGCAGATTAAATGTGATAATGGGTTTAAAGAAGTTAGGTTGGGCCTGGTGCCGTGGCTCATGCCTGTAATCCCAGCACTTTGGGAGGCCGAGCCAGGCAGATCACGAGGTCAGGAGTTCAAGACCAGCCTGGCCAACATAGTGAAACCCCGTGTCTACTAAAAATACAAAAATTAGCCAGACATGGTGGCGTGTACCTGTAGTCCCAGCTACTCGGGAGGCTGAGGCAGGATTACTTGAACCGGGAGGTGGAGGTTGCAGTGAGCTAAGATGTGCCATTGCACTCCAGCCTGGGTGACAGAGTTAGACTTCGTCTCAAATAATAATAATAATAATAATAATAAATAGAAAAATAAATAAAAAGAAGTTAGGTTACCATGGAGCCTAGCACATGGGAAGGACACCATGTTGTTGTTGTTGATGCTACTTTCTCTACTGGCTTCATGGCCTCCTTGGTTAGCTGTTGGTGGGCGGCTCCAGACCCAGGCCTCCTGAACTTCTTCCTAGTCCTTTGCCTTTTGCTTGCTTCCAGCCTAAATTTATTTACTTCCTGGACATTCTCCTTTCCTTAAGGGTCTCTCCATCTCACCACATAAAAGGCAGCCTATGATAAAATGTCCTGATAAATTTTTTGTTCAGAAATCCATTAGAAGGAAGTGCTGGGAAAATAAGATTGCTTGAGAGAAGGGCGGGCCTCTGAAGTGCTTCCTCACTGTGGGGAGATCAAAGAGTAGAACAAGTGGAAATACCAGGTCTGCAAGAATGGTATTGAGCCCATATTATTATTTCATCTTCCCTCTACAGCAGGAGAAAAAAGGCTTGGTTTTTCTACATTCTTTATTTTTAAAAAATCTAGACTTTCAGTTGTTTGGAATACTTGTTGTTATTATTATTATTATCATTTGAGACAGGGTCACACAGGTTGGAGTGCAGTGGCGTGATCTCAGCTCACTGCAACGTCCATCTCCCAAGTTCAAGCGATTGTCCTGCCTCAGCCTCCTGAGTAGCTGGGATTACAGGTGTGAGCCACTGAGCTCAGGAATAGCCACCACGCTGGTCAGGTTGGTCTCGAACTCCTGGCTTCAAGTGATCCGCCTGTCCTGGCCTTCCAAAGTGTTGGGATTACAGGCGTGAGCCACTGCACCTGGCCTACTTTTAACATTAATGTTTCTCTGGTTAATGTGGTGTTTAAACCTTGCAATTTCCTACTAGTCTGCCTCCATGCACCCAACTTCCTTTGGATCTGTGTTGAGAAACAGAAAGACAGACACAGGAGGAGTAGCAGGGATGTTAGAATACTGAGCAGAGAGGAACCTGCTCCCACCACACTCCTTCTGGTTCAAATTGTCCATTTTTTCTAGTGTTGGAAGTTCTCATGGGGACAGTGCAGGATGAATTATTTGAAGTTTAGGAAACTGAGTCTCCAAAGACAGTTTAGTGCAAGCCTCTGAGCTTCTCTTCTACCAGGCAAAGGTAGATAGGAAGACTGATAAGATCTCTTGGTTTTTGTGTGTGTGTGTGCCAATTCAACTCCCACCCACTTATACTTGAAAGTAGGACTTCAAGGTACTTTACCACAGAAACCAGAAAGCAACCTTTAAATAGTTCCGGAACAGCAAAATCTGCATTCTCATTAGGCTAACTACTGAGTTTAACTTCACCCACACGAGAGTTACATGATTAGAGCCAGGAGAACCAGACTTTGGCTTTCTGACATTTTAACAGTAGAGACAGTCACTGCTTTCTGCGTTCTCCTTTCCCCACTGCCTGGGTAGAAAAAAAAAAAGTGAAGAAGTATTAGTGATGATGTTAGTGACCAAATCTTTCTCTTGAAGTAGGGATAGTGGTGACGTGACAGTTCCCCCAAAAGGCTGCAAACTGAGGGGGCATAAAATGAGGCTGCTTTGCAGTTGGAGGCAACCAGTTTTAGTGAAGGGTCATTCTGTCATTCTGTTTCTATTCTTAGACAGATTTGGGTGCAAAGCTCTTCTTTATCATATTCTAGCTATAGGGCCTGGGAAAATTACATCTAACGTTTTTTTTTTGACATGGAGTCTCGCTCTGTCGCCCAGGCTGGAGTGCAGTGGCGCAATCTCCGCTCACTGCAAGCTCCACCTCCCGGGTTCACGCCATTCTCCTGCCTCAGCCTCCCTAGTAGCTGGGACTACAGGCACCCGCCACAACGCCCGGCTAATTTTTTGTATTTTTTATTAGAGAGGGGGTTTCACCATGTTAGCCAGGATGGTCTCAATCTCCTGACCTTGTGATCCGCCCGCCTCGGCCTCCCAAAGTGCTGGGATTACAGGCGTGAGCCACCGCGCTCGGTCAATTACATCTAACTTTGTGTCCTCTGTTTCTTTGTCTGTAACTGGAGACATAGAACCTTTGACTGAACCAGTCCGTATACAACGTCTGGCACCTAGCACCCCTTTCCTCATCTTGGGACACGCAGCATCATCTTGCATAGCGATTAACTGCACTGGAGGATGAGAATATGATATTTGGATAAAAACTTAATGTCCAGAGACAGTGGAGACAGCAGGTTTGGGAGATGGAGATTGTATATTTTGGGGGATGGTGTTCATAGTCCTTGAAGATAATGAACTTTTACTCTAACTTGTTAGAAATATGCTAGAGCTTTTCTTCTCTCCTTTTTTAAACTGTCTCATAAGAGTGAGTGTGTGTAAAGAAATCAATTAAGCTGGTGCAGCACCAGCTCATCACCTCTGTCATCCAGCTGACTTGCCGACAGAGTCTCATCAATTTCTTAGTAATGTCAGCATGTTATCCTGGAAAGAAAACTGAACGGGGTGTCACAAGGAGAAGCATCAATTCCACAAATTTGCATTAACACCTACTCTGTTCCAGCCACTGGGCTGCATGCACTAGAGACAAAGATGAGAAATCCAAGATCACACTGCAGAGTGAGCCTCGTACAGTATTTCTCAAGCAGAGTGAGCCTCGTACAGTATTTCTCAAGCAGTGTGAGCCTCGTACAGTATTTCTCAAGCAGTGTGAGCCTCGTACAGTATTTCTCAAGCAGTGTGAGCCTCGTACAGTATTTCTCAAGCAGTGTGAGCCTCGTACAGTATTTCTCAAGCAGTGTGAGCCTCGTACAGTATTTCTCAAGCAGTGTGAGCCTCGTACAGTATTTCTCAATTGGAGAATTCCAAAAATTCTCAGGGATTGCAAGTTCCAGAAGTCTATTTTTTTGCTTTTGTTTCAATAATATATATACATATATGTGTGTGTATATGTGTGTGTATATGTGTGTGTTTTTTTTTGTGTGTGTGTGTATATAGATATATATTTATTTATTTTTGTTTTTTTTTCATCTTCACTCTGTCGCCCAGGCTGGAGTGCAGTGGCGTGATCTCAGCTCACTGCAACCTCTGCCTCTAGAGTTCAAATGATTCTCTTGTCTCAGCCTCCTGAGTTGCTGGGATTACAGGCAAGCACTACCACGCTCAGCTAATTTTTGTGTTTTTAGTAGAGACAGGGTTTTGCCATATTGGCCAGGCTGGTCTCGAACTCCGGAATTCAGGTGATCCACTCGCCCCTGCCTCCCAGTGTTGGGATTTCAGGCGTGAACCACCACGCCTGGCCCAATAATATATTTTGAATGGTCATTTTACTAGTTATAAAGGAAAAATTTTGTAGAGCAATAACTCATATCTGAAAGATAGCATCAACAATTAAAGGTTAAATTTCATAACCTGATGTGTAGGAATATGCCTACATATTCTTAGACTCTTCAGGAGATTTCCTTTCTTTCAAGATCCATATATTACCAAGTTGAAAAACATAGTATAAGGGATCTGAATTTTTGTCTTCTTTAACCCCTAACTTGGTGTGTGGTCTTAGCCAGTACACTCATTTAAACCCACTGGGCCTCAGAGTCTTGCTCTAAAATAAGGTACCTGGACCAGATGAGTTCTGAAACTCTTCTAGCTTTAGTAGTCTACACCTCTATAACTTTTCCTCTAATTGGAATTGTAAACTGCATTTCTTTTTAATTTCTGGTTGAAAAGAGAGAGCACTGGCTAGACATCAGATCTGTTCTTATTTTTCCTTTAGAAGTGATTGCTCAGAAAAGCTGATGAAATCATTCTCCTTCTTTGTGTCTTAGGCTTTTTATCTGAGATATCGGAATGTTAACAACAACAACAACAAAACCAAAGGTAAAAATAAGTGCGAATGTAAGTTTGAAAAGTTTTGGCATACAGCAGAAATTTTATCACAAAGATGAGCCCTGCAGTGAAAGGGAAAATTAATATCTCTAGGTTAATTAGTCAGGAATACAGGTATACTGTGCAACAAACAGCTCCAAAGATTCATTGCACAGGTGATTGCAGGTTGGCAGGGCTCTGCTCATCACAGTGGGCAAAGGACCAGGCTGCTGGGAACTCCATCTAGACTCATAGTTTCGATATCCCTGGAGGAGGGAAAAGAGGATACTGTAAACTGCACGTTGTCTCAGAATCACATTTCATTGGCTAATGCAGGTTACGTGATTATGACTAAGTTCACAGGGGTTGGGGTGAGGTGCAGAATAGCAATTCTACTTGAGACAAAGATGAGAATATCTTGAATATTTGTGACACTGGTTCTTCACAAACATACCATTATTAGCATGCTCATTTTTAAATTTGGAGGCTAAAATCCAAATTATAATTCCAGGTAGTGATCATTCTAAAATGCAAAACAATGAACACACTCAAGTTGATTTTGGATTTGACCATACACGTTTCTCAGAAGAGGGAGCTTTCCTGTGAGTTACCCATGATAGAAGAACTGGCAGATAAGAATTCTTGGCAGTGAGAATGCACAAAAGGAATGAAGCAAAGTTAACTGGGGTTACAGGTCAGGGAGCATGCAAGAACACGGGTAGAGTTGTGATCAAAGGAACAAGTGGCTTATGACAGAACTTCTTTACTAAAGACTCTGAAGTCAAAGTCATATTTGTGTTTAATATAGAGTATCCTATATGCGTCAACGGGTATGGAATGAAAGAAATGTATTCAGATATGAAGAGATGGGAGAAACAAGAAGGTCTGTAGAGAAAGTACAGTGAATATTTGAATTTTTATGTTGGGTCATATAAATTGATTTTGCTAGTGGCATACCTTAACATTTACTACTTACTGAGACTGTTACTATGCAGTTCACTTTAACCCAGCAGAACAAATGAAAAGTCTTTTTTGGGGCGGGGGATGGAGTCTTGCTCTGTCGCCAGGCTGGAGTGCAGTGGCATGATCTTGACTCACTGCAACCTTCGCCTCCCGGGTTCAAGTGATTCCCCTACCTCAGCCTCCCGAGTAGCTGGGATTACAGGTGCGCACCACCATGCCCCACTAATTTTTTGCATTTTAGTAGAGATGGGGTTTCACCATGTTGGCCAGGATGGTCTCCATCTACTGACCTTGGGATCCACCTGCCTTGGCCTTCCAAAGTGCTGGGATTACGGGCATGAGCCACCGAGCCCAACCAACAAATGAAAATTCTACGAGAGAGATAGTTTAATTAAAACATGTAATTAGTTGATTACCTGCTTCATAGAAGTAACAACAACTTTGCCTTAATGTGGCATTCTGTTATTAGTCTGGGAGGTGAAGGGTCCTAAATAGAGTGGCTTTATTGACTCTTTGAGTACAATGCTCTTAGAATGACATCATGACTTAGGGTAAAATAGTATTAATTTCTAATCGTCAAAACCATATATTCAGATATAAGCATAAAAACATATTCAAAATGCCAAGTATAATTTCAAAATATATACGCAGTTGACCCTTGAACGTTGTGGACCTTAGGGGTGGTGATCTCTCCTACACCAAAAAATCCATGTATAATTTCTGACTGCCCCACATCTTAACTACTAATAGCCTACTGTTGACCGGAAGCCATACTGACCACATACACAGTCCATTAACACATATTTTGTATGTTATTTGTATTATATACTGTATTATTAAAATAACTTAAGCTAGGGAAAATAAAATGTTATTAAGAAAATCATAAGGAAGAGACAATGTATTTACTATTTATTGAGTGGAAGTGGCTCATCATAAAGGCCTTCATCCTCATCATCTTCACATTGAGTAGGCTGAGGAGGAGGAAGTACTGAGGTTGATTTTGTTGTCTCAGAGGTGGCAGAGGCAGAAGAGGTGGAAGGGGAGGCGGGACACTCAGTGTAACTTTTATTGAAAAAATCCACACAGTTCAAATTCATGTTGTTCAAGGGTTCAGGGGTCAAATATGTATGTGTATATATTTGCTGTTCAGTGCTGGCTGACTGGTGATGTTTGAATTTATCTCCACTTTAAAATATTTTTTTGGCCAGGTGCAGTGGCTGACGCCTGTAATCCCAGCACTTCGGGAGGCTGAGGTGGGCAGATCACAAGGTCAGGAGTACGAGACCACACTGGCCAATATGGTAAAACCCTGTCTCTACTAAAAATACAAAAATTTGTCTGGCGTGGTGGTGCAGGCCTGTAGTCCCAGCCACTTGGGGGGCTGAGGCAGAAGAATCACTTGAACCCAGAGGTGGAGGTTGCAGTGAGCCGCTGCACTCCGGCCTGGGCAACAGAGCAAGATTCCATCTCAAAAAATAATAAATAAAACAAAATATGTTTTTCCCTATTGTCCTTTATATTGTATGTCTAGGGAGAGAATTGGCTAGCCCACAAATAAAGGAGAAAGGAGGAGAAAAATTCCTTATTTGTGATATGTGATATAAATCTTCTGAAATTCATGATTTTGGGGCAGCACGATTTAGAACAAAAAGAAAACCTGATATTAAAAAAAATAATATAGTGATGCTTAAATCTGTAACAGATATTGGGAATACAGGTGAAAATGAACTTTGTGTGCAGAAAGAGCACCTCAAAAGATCTTACTCACAAGTCCATGCACACTATTTGACATCCTGTGTCATTTCGTAAATCACTTTCATGCTTGAGAAATGCAGTATATACATAAATAATATTGATGCGGATAGCAACAATAGTAAGTTCCTGGCCTTGTCTGCACTCATGTGTCTCTGTTGCAAAGGCTGTTATGGGATTCCATAGCACTAAAGAACTGGAATTAATGATTGGAAAAAATGTTCTCCAGCTGTTTGCCTAAGATAAATATGGCCTTAGACTTCAGGTTCTACTTCTGCCCATCTCATGGACCATAAGTAGTGAAAAGCCAACCAAAATATAGTTAGTATATTAATTATGATCAAACTGAGCTAATGACACCCTGGGATGGTAGGGAAGAAAGTCAGGAGAAGTAAAAGAAAGCACTGTAATTATAGGAGAAAGGTCTTCAGTTATTCTTGCCCTTTTGCTTGCTACCACCAAATTCTAATCCTGGGGGCTTATAATTATTTTATGAGCCTGAAGTAAGTCATGTTGCTTGCAATCCTTATAGCCATATCTTAATGGAAAAGTATTCACATGTTTGATACACCCATAATTTTTAGAGAGAATGATATTTTCAAGAACAGGGATGAAAAACTTGGGGAGCCACACAATTCTTGCTTGGTGTGTGTCTGTGCATATGTGTGTGCAACGCACATGTGTTCATAGCCACCATATTGACAAACAGCAAAGATGTGAAAGGACTGAGTGACTCTAGGTCATGGAACTGGAAGTGCCAGGGCGACGGCTGAGGGATGAGCCTTTCTGCCCTGAAGCTTGAGAGGGGCTATGGTTGTTGCTTAGCAAGTTCTAGACAAGAATTCAGGTTATTATATAACTTGTTTTCAGAACATTCTAGTGTGGTAGGAATGTTGCAGCTATTCTTGGCCCCTCTTGCCAGGGAAGCACTCTAGCACTTGTGGGTTTGATATCCAGGGTGGTGGGACAGGCTTATCAGGTTGGCCAAGCTTGTAGATCCTGTTGTGCATAGAATATCTTCTTCTCTCTCTACTTTTGTTGTTTACTTAACAAAAGACACTCCACCCTCGCTGCAAGTTTTGACACTCTCTCTGATACACTGTATGGCTACTGTACCTTGACTTTCAATTACATTAAATCCTATCATAATCATTTTCTTTAACACCCGTAAAGCTCAGCTCCCATGGTGTAGGGTTATGCTGTCAAATATAAAAAAACCAGAAGAATCCTACTGGAATTGCAGTAGCTATTGCACACGCTTAAAAATAAAATCGGCATAAGAGCCCTCCCCACTTTGCATTCAATTCTGGTAGCAAAAAAGATAAAAGTTATTCAAGCCATTCAAATATGGCTTGACCTATAAACCAGTGGCCTTAATTCGGTGATTTTAAATCAATGTGATATCATGTTAAAATACTTTCTCTGGGAAAGGATTTCTTTTGGAAGTGAGTTCTGGAATTCCTAATTATTACCATTGTAATGATTAATGTAGAGCAGAATATTCTTCATTAATACCTAACAAAAACACATTGAATGGGAAGGTTTTCATTTGCTTGCTTTGTTTCTTTTGATGATCCTGCTTTATTGGTTGGACCATAAGCAAGTTTCAAAATTTAGGGAGTCATAGATGGTGTCACCTCTTCTGCCTGGATTATTTTTGGTCAACATGTATAAGTGTTGCTCAGAAGCCTGTTTTGTTGTTGTTGTTGCTGTTGTTGCTTTTTTGAGATGGAGTCTTGCTCTGTCGCGCAGGCTGGAGTGCAGTGGCGTGATCTCGGCTCACTGCAAGCTCTGCCTCCTGGGTTCACACTATTCTCCTGCCTCAGCCTCCAGAGTAGCTGGGACTATAGGCGCCCGCCACCACGCCTGACTAACTTTCTTGTATTTTTAGTAGAGATGGGGTTTCACTATGTTAGCCAGGATGGTCTTGATCTCCTGACCTCGTGATCCATCCGCCTCGGCCTCCCAAAGTGCTGGGATTACAGGCGTGAGCCACCGCGCCCTGCCAGAAGCCTGTTTTATTGTTCCATTTATTTAGGTTGTATTCCATGTGCTTTGCTGCTACTTTGGGCTAACATCATTCTGAGGAACATTCTTAGGGTCAAAGGAGAGGAATGGGTATTTGAGGAATGTAACAGATTTTTGACAGCAGTGCCTTTTCAGTATTAGTCATGCCTGTTGATTGTTCAAACTGACACTCTGAGCTCTATCCTGAGCAATGATAGCCCTTTGTGGATTAGCTGGTGGGAGGATGTCCCTCCAGTTAATCAGATCTCACCACAACAAGCACTCTATTCCATCTTTAACCAAGAAGTTATCTCTACTTCTATTATTTTTCCACTGTATTAGGAAAATGATTTGCTTGACACTATGTATCAATCAGAATTTTAAAAATCTTCTTTCCTTTTGGAGTTGCTACCTCCAATTGGCAGGTTAGTAAAATCTTACCCATTCTGGCAATGAGGGTGTGCCACATTTTACTCACTTTTTTTTTTCAGGAACAAGAGTAAGATTACTGGTGACTCTAATCACCACATACAGCAGCCAGGTCTTTTGCTATGACCTGGGTGAGGGAGAGTTCTCCACTTTCATAATGTAGCTTTGGTACAGGCCCATCTTTCCAGCTGAAGGTAATGTGAGCTGGAACTGGTCACAGAGGCCCTGGCAGCTGGCTTAACCTGTTTATATAAAGACGGAACACAGCCACTGATTAAGAGAGCCACCTCCTATTGATTGGTTTTGGAGTGGAGCCCAGAATTTTCCATGGAGATAGCTTTTAAAAGTTAGGTCAGCATCTCAGTGAAAGATAAGGACACACAAGAAAGCCCTTGTGGGTTGCCCTGTCTTGAGAACCCTCACTGTTCAGCAAGGATCGGAATAGATATATGTGACCAATGAAATGCTTCTTACTAGGTTTATCTCCGTGAAAAGATCACTTTTCCCGGAGTGATCTTGTGGACTGAGGATTAAGTGGGCAAGCTTGAGCCAAGCTTAGCATTTAGCAACTTACGTATTTCCTTGGCTCTTCAATTCTGAAATCCCTCAGGGTGGACCGGTCAGTGATAAGATCAATTTGGTGTCAGGACATTTTATATGGGGGATGTTTTTAAAGGGTGGGTACAATGTTGTAAATAATGAAAGACTGCTGCTTCTAGATTTAAATCAGGGAATAAGGTTAAAAGGAGCAAAAGAGGGATGGGCAGGAAGGTGAGTGAGGGGGAAAAAAGACTTGATTAAAGAATTCCATGGAGAATCAGTAAAGAAACTACAGGGCTTCAATGGTCCCATGAATTTCTCCACCCCCATGACTGATCAAACATACTTGAAGGAATAGT